TTGCAAGATACATCCATGAAGGCAAAAGAAACAAAAGCAAAAATGAACTATTGGGACTTCATCAAGATAAGAAGCTTTTGCACAGCAAAGGATACAGTCAACAAAACTAAAAGACAACCTACAGAATGGGAGAAGATATTTGCAAATGACATATCAGATAAAGGGCTAGTATCCAAGATCTATAAAGAACTTCTTAAACTCAACACCAAAGAAACAAACAATCCAATCATGAAATGGGCAAAAGACATGAAGAGAAATCTCACAGAGGAAGACATAGACATGGCCAACATGCACATGAGAAAATGCTCTGCATCACTTGCCATCAGGGAAATACAGATCAAAACCACAATGAGATACCACCTCACACCAGTGAGAATGGGGAAAATTAACAAGGCAGGAAACAACAAATGTTGAAGAGGATGCGGAGAAAAGGGAAACCTCTTACACTGTTGGTGGGAATGTGAACTGGTGCAGCCACTCTGGAAAACTGTGTGGAGGTTCCTCAAAGAGTTAAAAATAGACCTGCCCTACGACCCAGCAATTGCACTGCTGGGGATTTACCCCAAAGATTCAGATGCGATGAAACACCGGGACACCTGCACCCCAATGTTTCTAGCAGCCATGTCCACAATAGCCAAACTGTGGAAGGAGCCTCGGTGTCCATCGAAAGATGAATGGATAAAGAAGATGTGGTCTATGTATACAATGGAATATTCCTCAGCCATTAGAAACGACAAATACCCACCATTTGCTTCAACGTGGCTGGAACTGGAGGGTATTATGCTGAGTGAAGTAAGTCAATCGGAGAAGGACAAACAGTGTATGTTCTCATTCATTTGGGGAATATAAATAATAGTGAAAGGGAATAGAGGGGAAGGGAGAAGAAATGTGTGGGAAATATCAGAAAGGGAGACAGAACATAAAGACTCCTAACTCTGGGAAATGAACTAGGGGTGGTAGAAGGGGAGGAGGGCGGGGGATGGAAGTGAATGGGTGAAGGGCACTGGGGGTTATTCTGTATGTTGGTAAATTGAACACCAATAAAAAATAAATTAAAAAAAAAGAAAATCAGCCACAGAAAACATCCCTTATAAGGCCATATTTTGGAGTTAGTAGACAAAGATTTAAAATCATCTATTATAAATAGACTTAATGGACAAAGACTGAAAACTGTCCTGTCCCCTAGGATTAGGAACAATGACAACAGATGTCCATTCTGGCCACCTATATTCAACATTACACTGGAAGTTCTATCCAGGGCAGCTACACAGGAAAAAAATAAAGGCTATCCAGCTTGGAAAGAAGAAAAACCATCTCTACTCACAGATGTCATAAGTTTATAAATAGAAAATCTGAAAGAGCAAGGGAAAAGATCACATACAACGTAGCATTTGTATTTCTTTATACTAGCAATGAATATAATGAAAACGAAAACAAGAAACCAATTCCATTGACAATATCGTCAAAAACTGATTAGGGTTAAAGTTAACATTAAGAAGTTTAAGACTTAAGGGTCCTGGGTGGCTCAATCAGTTAAGTGTCTTGACTCTTTGTTTTAGCTTAGCTCATGGTCTCAGGGTTACGGGATCAAGCCCGCCATCAGGCTCTGCACTCGGTGTGGAGTCTGCTAGGGATTGTCTCCCTCTCTCTCCTCTGCTCCTCCCTCTGCTCATGCTCTTTTTCAAGTGCATACACTCTTTCTCTCTCTCTCTCTCTCTCTCTCTCTAATATAAAATCTTTTTAAAGTATTTTTAAAAAGAATTTTAAGACTTAGACACTGTTGGGATGCCTGGGTGGCTCAGCAGTTGGGCGGCTGCCTTTGGCTCAGGTCATGATCCCAGGTTCTGGGATTGAGGCCCACATTGTGCTCCTGTGAAGAGCCCACTTCTCCCTCTGCCTAGGTCTCTGCCTCTCTCTCTGTCTCTTAAATAAATAAATACTTAAAAAAAAAGACTTAGACACTGTTAACAGAATTCTATGGATAGAAAATATAAAAATGACCCATCAGAGATAAGGAACTCAATAACTGAAATTAAAAATATACTAGAGGGAACAATAGACTACAGAGAGCAGAACAGATCATGGAGCTGGAAGACAGGGTAGTGGAAAGCAACCAAAATGAATGGCAAAAAGAATATTTAAAGTTATAAATAGGGGCACATTGTAGCAAAAGACTCCTGATGTTGGGGTAGAATTTGAACCCTGTGTTGGGTGTAGAGATTACTTAAAAATAAAATCTTAGGGATCCCTGGGTGGCGCAGTGGTTTGGCACCTGCCTTTGGCCCAGGGCGCGATCCTGGAGACCTGGGATCGAATCCCACGTCGGGCTCCCGGTGCATGGAGCCTGCTTCTCCCTCTGCCTGTGTCCTTGCCTCTCTCTCTCTCTGTGACTGTCATAAATAAATAAAAAAAATAAAAAAATAAAAAAAAATAAAATCTTAGGGCAGCCCCTGGTGGCGCAGTGGTTTAGCCCCACCTGCAGCCCGGGGTATGATCCTGGAGACCCGGGATCAAGTCCCACATCGGGCTCCCTGCATGGAGCCTGCTTCTCCCTCTGTGTCTCTGCCTCTCTCTGTGTGTCTCTATGAATAAATAAATAAAATCTTTTAAAAAAAAATTTTTAAATAAAATCTTAGAAAAATTGAGGATAGGTTGAGGGAACTCAATGACACCATCAAGCATAATACTTTCATTATGTTTTTTATTTAAAGATTTTATTTTTGTTTATTTGACAGAGAGAAAAAGCACAAGCAGAGGGAGTGGGAAGGAGAGAAGCAGACTCCCCACTGAGCAGGGAGCCCAATGTGAGACTCAATCCCAGGACCCTGGGATTATGGCCTGAGCCAAAGGCAGGCACTTAACTGACTGAGCCACCCAGGCATTACATGGGTCTCAGAAGGAGAAGGGAGACTAAGGGGCAGAAATTTTGTTATTTAAAGAAATAATAGATGAAAACTTCCCTGATCTGGGGAAGGAAACAAACATCCAGGTCCAGAAGTCACCCCCAACAAAATCACCCTAGAGTTCCATACCAAGACACACAGTATTAAACTGGCAAAAAGCAGTGAGAAAATTTTAAAAGCAGCAAAAGTAAAGAAAACAGGGGCAGCCCAGGTGGCCCAGTGGTTTAGCGCCACCTTCAGCCCAGGCCTGATCCTGGAGACCTGGGATCAAGTCCCATGTGGGGCTCCCGGCATGGAGCCTGCTTCTCCCTCTGCCTGTGTCTCTGCCTCTCTCTCTCTCTCTCTCTCTCTCTCTCTCTCTCTGTCTCTCATGAATGAATAAATAAAATCTTTTCTAAAAAAAGTAAAGAAAACAGTTACATACAAGGGAAACACTATACAACTATCAGAGGATTTTTCTTCAGAAACTTTGCATACCAAGAGGGAGTGGAATGATACATTCAAAGTGCTGGAAGGAAAAAAATCTGCAACCAAGAATACTCTACCCAGCAAGACTGTCATTCAGAATAAGTTAAAGAGATCAGAGAGGAACAGAGAATTACAAAAGCAAACAAAAGCAAAAAAAAAAAAAAAGCAACCATAAAACATGTAACAAAATGGCAATGAGTATATACCTATCAATAATTACTATGAATGTAAATGGATTAAATACTCTAAAAGACAGAGTGACTGAATAAAAGTGGGACCCATCTATATGCTATCTACAAGACAGTCATTGCAAACTTAAAGACAAAAGCATATTGAAATTAAAGGGTTGGAAAAACATTTACAGGGCAAATGGAAGTGAAAAGAAAGCTGAAGTAACAATATTTACATGTAACAAAATAGACTTTAAAACAAAGATCATGGGATCCCTGGGTGGCGCAGCAGTTTGGCGCCTGCCTTTGGCCCAGGGCGCAATCCTGGAGACCCGGGATCGAATCCCACGTCGGGCTCCCGGTGCATGGAGCCTGCTTCTCCCTCTGCCTGTGTCTCTGCCCCTCTCTCTCTCTCTCTCTCTCTGTGTGTGTGACTATCATAAATAAATAAATAAATAATTAATTAATTAATTAATTAATTAATTAAAAAAAATAAAACAAAGATCATAACAAGACAAGGACACTACATCATCATAAAGGGAACAACACAAAAAGAAAACATAACAATCAGGGTGCCAGGGTGGCTCGATCAGTTAAGTGTCTGCCTTTGGCTCAGGTTGTGATTCCAGGGTCCTGGGATTGAGCCCCACATCGGGATCCCTGCTCATAAAGGGGTGCTCCTTCTCCCTTTGCCCCATCCCCTGCTTGTGCTTTCACTCTCTCAAATAAATAAAATCTTTAAAAAAATAATTGTAAATATTTATGCATTTCAGCTTGGGAGCACCCAAATATATAAAACTGTTTAAAAAAAAAGCAAGAAGTCTATGGTAATACAATATTAGTAGGGGACTTTAACAACCCACTTATCTCAATAGATAGATCACCCAGACAGAAAATCAACAGGAAATATGGATTTGAGTGATGTACTGGAATGCACCTAATGGATACTCAGAACATTCCATCCCAAAACACCAGGATACACATTCTTTTCAAATGCACACAAAACATTATACAGAAGATATCACATGGTAGGTCACAAAACAAGTCTCAAAAAATACAAAAGACTGAAATCATATGATACATCTTTTTCAACCACAAGGTATAGAACTAGAAATAATCCACAGGAAAAAAAACTCTGGAAAGAATACAAATACATGGAGGTTAAATAACAAAAAAAATACTAAACAATGAATGGGTCAACCAGGAAATCAAAGAGGAAGTTTAAAAATACATGGAGACAAATGAAAATGAAAACACAATGGTCCAAAATCTTTAGCATGCAGCAAAAGCTTTTTTAAGAGGGAAGATCATATCAATACAGGTGTACCCCAAGAATCATGAGAAATCTCATCTAACCTTCCACCTAAAGGATCCACAAAAAGAGCAAAGCCCAAAGCCAGTGTAAGGAAGGAAATTATTAGAAACTTAATTGAGACTAAAAAATAATAGAACAGTGAACCAAGATGGCGGCTCCCATGGATCTGGAGTTGAAGAAGGCCTTCACAGAACTTCAAGCCAAAGTTATTGACACTCAACAGAAGGTGAAGCTTGCAGACATACAGATTGAACAGCTAAACAGAATGAAAAAGCACGCACATCTTACAGATACAGAGATTATGACTTTGGTAGATGAGACTAACATGTATGAAGGTGTAGGAAGAATGTTTATTCTTCAGTCCAAGGAGGTAATTCACAGTCAGCTGTTAGAGAAACAGAAAATAGCAGAAGAAAAAATTAAAGAACCAGAACAGAAAAACTCCTACCTGGAGCAGAGTGTGAAGGAAGCTGAGGACCACATCCAGGAGATGCTGATGGCACGAAGGGCACAGTAGGAAATCTCCAGCCGAAGCTTCCTGCCCCCTCCCATTCCTGGCAAGGGTAGGTGGGGGGCCCATGTGGAGAAACTTCTCTTCTGCCCAGGTGGACTTTTTATTTGGATGATCTCATAACCCTGTGTTTTCTACTTCACCATGATACCCTTTCAGACCCCAGTTCTGTATTTTTTATCCTAGCTCTATCTGCCACCTCTGTCCAGAACACTTTTCTCCCTGGGGGTGAGTCACAAACTCCCAGGAGAAAAAAAAAAAAAAAACTCCCAGGAGAGGGAGATGGGAGCCATACAGATAAGGGAGCTCTGCCCAAGCCTATGAACTAGTTATGCTCCTTAGACCAATAAAAGGCATGTGTTCCCCCAGCCACTCTACAAAGTCTGCCTTTCTTGAGCTGAAGGATGAGAACCAAGGGCCAGAGAGGTAGAGGCTTTCAACCTCAACTCCTCCCTGACCTCTTTATTTAAGCCTTTGCTGCTGCTTTTGTCCCTTTCTGTTCCTTTGAGTAAAATCCCTCACCTCTGAGCCTCCATGCAAATAAGAGGAAGACCAGGGGGGATAGCTGAATTTAAGTAACCTTGGTGGCATGTTGCAAATGTTCAAGAAAATGCAGTAATAAAGCAGCAGCACATCCAAAAAAATAAATAAATAGAACAGATTAGTGAAACCAGTGTTCTTTGACAAGATCAACCAAACAATATACCTTTAGCCACACTCAAAAGAGAGAAGACTCAAAATCATAAATGAAGAGAAATAGCAACCAACACCACAGAAATACAAAGGATTATAAGCAAATATTATAAAAAATTATGTGCCAACAAATTGGACAACCTAGAAGAAATAGATAAATTCCTAGAAACATATAACCTCCCAAAACTGAATCAGGAAGAAATAGAGTTTTTGAACAATTACTGACAATTGAGATTGAATCAATTAAAAAAAAAAAAGTCCAGAACCAGATGCCTTCACAGGTGAATTCTCCCAAACATTTAGAGTTAATACCTATTCATCTCTATTCCCAAAAAGAGGAAGGAAAATTTCCAAATCCATTCTACAAGGCCAGCATTACCCTGTTACCAAAACTAGATAGACAAACACTACCAAAGAAAAATACCCACAGGTCAGTATCTGATAAACATAGATGCAAAAATCCTCAATAAAATATTAACAAATTGTACCCAACGACATACATTAAAAAAAATCATTCACCACAATCAAATGGGATTTATTCCATGGATACAAGGGTAGTTTAATATTTTAGCAATGTGATACATCACATAAACAAGAGGAAAGGTAAAAAACATATGATCATTCCAATAGATGCAGAAAAAGTATTTGACAAAGTATGACATCCATTCGTGATAAAAGAAAAAAAAAACCTTCAACAAAGTCGGTTAAGAGAACATACCTCAATGTAATAAAAGTCATAAATGAAAAACCCACAACTAACATCATACTCAGTGGTGAAAGACTAAGAGTTTTTCCTCTAAGACCAGGAACAAGGATATCCATTCTCACTACTTTTATTCAACATATTACATGATGTCCTAGCCCCGACAATCAGACAAGAAAAAGAAATAAAGTTCATCCAAATTAGGACAAAATAAATAAAACTGTCACTATTTGCAAATGACATAATCCTATGTATAGAAAACCCACCAAAAAACTTAGAACTGATAAGTGAATTCAGTAATGTTGCAGGTGCAAAAAACATACAGAAATCTGTTGCATTATTATGCATTAATAGTGAACAGAAGAAAACAATCCCCTTTACACTTACACCAAAAAAAAAAAAAAACTAGTAATAAACTTAACTAAACTGGTCAAATATCTGTACTCTGAACACTATAAAACATTGATGAAAGACATTTAAGACACACAAATGAAAAGATATTCCATGCTTATGGATTGAAAGAACCAATATTGTTAAAATGCCATACCACCCAAAGCAATCTACAGATTTAATGTAATCTCTATCAAAATACTAATTTTTAACAGGTTTAGAATAATCCTGAATTTTTATGGAGCCACAAAAGACCCCAAATAGCTAAAACAATTTTTTAAAGATTTTTTATTTATTTATGGGCTGAAGGCAGTACTAAATCACTGAGTCACCCGGGCTGCCCTAGCTAAAGCAATTTTGAAGACCAAGAACAAAGCTAGAGGCATCATAATCCCAGATTTCAAGATATACTACAAAACTGTGGTAATCAAAATAGTATGTTACTGGCAAAAAATAGACATAGATCATTGGAATAGAATAGAGTCCAGAAAATCAACCCATGCTTTTATGATCAATTTACAACAAAGGAGGCAAGAATATACAATGGGAAAAAATCTCTTCAATAAACGGTATTGGCAAAACTGAACAGCAACATGCAAAAGGATGAAACTGCATCATCTTCTTATACCATATACAAAAATAAACTCAAAAGGATTAAAGATCTAAATGTGAGGGACGCCTGGGTGGCTCAGTGGATGAGTGTCTGCCTTTGGCTCAGGGTGTGATCCTGGAGTCCTGGGATCAAGTCCCACATGGGGACTCCTGCATGGAGCCTGCTTCCCTCTCTGCCTATGTTTCTGCCTCTTTCTCTCTGTATCTCTCATGAATAAATAAATAAAATCTTTAAATAAAAAAAAAGACCTAAATATGAAACCTGAAACCATTAAATTCCTTTAAGAAAACACAGGCAGTAATGATTCCTCAACATTAATTAACCGTAGAAACATTTTTCTAAATACAAGTCCTCTGGCAAGGTAAACAAAACACTAAACTATTGGTACGGGGCCCCTGGGTGGCTCAGTCCAATTAAATGTCAGCCTTCTGCTCAGGTCATGATCTTGGGGTCCTGGGCTCAAACCCCAAATGGGGTTCCCTGCTCAGCTAGGAGTCTGCTTGTCCCGCTCCCTCTGCCCCTCACCCCTGCTCATGTGTGCTTGCTCTCTCTGCTCTCTCTCTCTCTCTCTCAAATCAATCTTAAAAAATAAACTACTGGTACTACAACAAAATAAAAAGCTTTTGCACGTAAAGGAAACAATCAACAAAAAGATAACTTACTAAATGGGAGAAGGTATTTGCAAATAATGTATCCAGTAAGGGGTTAATATCTAAAATATATAAAACTTAATAAAATACCAAAAAAGATATTCCAAATTAAAAAATGGGCAGGACATGAATAGACATTTTTCCTAAGACAGATATCCAACAGACACACAAAAAGATGCTCAACGTTACTTATCATTAGGGAAATGCAATTCAAAACCACAATGAGCTATTCTCTCATATCTGTCAGGAATGATTAAAATCAGAAACACAGAAATAATAAGTATTGGTAAGCATGTGGAGAAAAAGGAATCCTCTTGCACTGTTGGTGGGAACATAAACTGGTGCAGCCATTGTGGAAAACAATATGGAGGTTCCTCAAAAAATTTAAATTGGGATTACCATATGATCCAGTAATTCCACTACTGAGCATTTACTCAAAGAAAATGAAAACACTACTTTAAAAAGATATCTGCACCCCTATTGATTGCAGCCTTTTTACAACAGAATAATATGGACACAACCCAAGTGTCCATTCACACATGAATGTATAAATATAATATGGTACATATATACTATGGAATGTCACTTAGCCATAAAAAATAATGAAATCTTGGGATGCCTGGGTGGCTCAGTGGTTGAGTGTCTGCCTTTGGCTCAGGGGGTGATCCTGGAGTCCTGGGGTTGAGTCCCACATTGGGCTTCTGCTTGGAGCCTGCTTCTCCCTCCGCCTGTGTCTCTGCCTCTCTCTCTCTCTCTCTCTCTCTCTCTCTCTCTCTGTGTGTGTGTGTGTGTGTGTCTCATGAATAAATAAATAAAATCTTAAAAATGATGAAATCTTGCCATTTGCAAAACATAGATCTAGAGAATATAACGCTAAGTGAAGAGAAAAATACTCTATGATTTCACCCTTATGTGGAATTTAAGAAACAAAAAAAAAAAAGACAAACCAAAAAACAAATTCTTAACTATAGAGAACAAATAGATGGTTACCAGAGGGGAAGGGGAAGGGTGAAAAAAGGGAAGGAGAGTAAGTGTACATTTATTTTGATGAGCACTAAATGTATATACTGTTGAATCATTCTATTGTACACTCGAGACTAATGGAACACTGTGTTAATTATACTTTAAATTTTTAATTAAAAATATATAAACAAAAATAAAGACTTCTATGAATGAAAGGACATCCCATGTTTATATATATTGTAATAATTAATATTGCTAAATTGGTGACACTCCCCAGATTGATCTGCAGATTCAATGTGGCTTTTATCAAAATCCAACCTAGATTCATTGCAGAAATTGACAAGCTTAGCCTAAAATTCATATGAAAATTCAAGAGATCCAGAATAGTCAAAACCATCTTGGAAAAGAGAAACAAAGTTAGAAAACTCACACTTAATTCAAATGTTACTACAAAGCTACAATAATCTTACAGCATGGTACTGGTATAAGGATGGAAATATAAATCACTGAGGGACACCTGGGTGGCTCAGTCAGTTAAGCATCTGCTCAGGTCATGATCTCAGGGTCTTGGGATTGAGCCCCTCATCCAGCTGTCCACTCAGTGGGGAGCCTGCTTCTCCCTCTCCATCTCTCTGCTTGTGCAGGCTCACTCTCTCTCTGTCACTCTCTCAAATAAATAATAAATACAATATTTATTTTTTTAATATTTTATTTATTTATTCATGAGAGACACAGAGAGAGAGAGGCACAGACACAGGCAGAGGGAGAAGCAAGCTCCATGCAGGGAGCCCGACATGGGACTCGATCCCCAGTCTCCAGGATTACACCCTGGGCGGAAGGCAGGCACTAAACCGCTGAGCCACCCAGGAATCCCCAATAAATACAATCTTTAATAAAAAAATATATATAAACCACTGGAATAGAATCAAGAATCCAGAAAATTGATGTTATTTATTAAAATCAAACTTTTATACCACAAATGAAACTACCAATAAAGTGAAAAGGCAAC